TACGTTGGCTAAGAAATGTCAATTGCACCAAAACTAGTGGCTTGGAGCATCTAGTGAGGGCTGTTGGGGAGGGGGGGGGGGGGTCGGCATGCACTAAACACAACCACACACATATATATATAGACAAACATGTACAACAACACACACACACAAACACATATACATACACAAACACACACTACATACATTTCTGCAGCCCAGGTGTGAATGCACGCATACGTGTTTGCATACACACACATGGATATATACACACATGCGAATCCATGTACACGTGTTTGCTAACACACATACATATATGCATGTACACGTAACATTCATGTAAACACTTTCTCCCCATCCTTTCCCATTCTTCGACTTCGAAGGAAGCTCTCAATTAATCGCCTCCTACGACATGCTTTTTAGTCTTTCTGCATCTAAGTCTTTCGTTCGGATTATCATTTTATGCTAGCCATGTCTGTAGGAGATGTGTGCTGTGATGTCTCCGCTGTTGTCAGAAGATGTTCTGGGGAGTTATGCTAGCCATATCTGTAGGGAATGTGGGCTGTGATGTCTCCGCTGTTGTCAGAAGATGTTCTGGGGAGTTATGCTAGCCATGTCTGTAGGGGATGTGGGCTGTGGGGTCTCCGCTGTTGTCAGAAGATATTCTAGGGAGTTATGCTAGCTATGTCTGTAGGGGATGTGGGCTGTGATGTCTCCGCTGTTGTCAGAAGATGTTCTGGGAAGTTATGCTAGCCATGAATGTATGGGTTTGGGCTGTGAGGTCTCCGCTGTTGTCAGAAGATGTTCTGGGGAGTCCTGATCCTTATTATCATTTAACATATCTTTTCCAAGAGGTTGTTCTCATCGGTGGATCCTGGAAAGCCGGTCCTGTCCCTTGCCAATCGTAAATTTTCATGCCATAGGTGTCCTTGATGTCTTCTGTCCTCAACTGCTCTGGTAGACCCACGCTTCTTCTTCCAGAAAAAAAAAACACAGCCTCCATCGCTGTGTTAAATTGTTGCTATTGTTGTTGTTGTTGTTACATTCAGTGTCGGATTTAGTTATATGCAAAGTATGCCACAACTCCTTACGGCCTCACAATCTGCAGGAGCCTCACAAAAATTCCTATTTTATTTTTTCACAAATACAGTTTTCTTTCAAATATATTATAAACTCTATTTTCTCTTGACAAGTTTTAAATTGTACCCCCAGGAAAAAAAACCAATTTGACTGACTGACTTTCTACCCCCCCCCCCCCCCCCCCCCAGACATCACACAAGCTATAAACACCCGATGACACAATGTGCCACCATGTGGATGAGGATTACCGACTCTGCAGCCACACTTCACAAGAAATCCCAGTTTGGGGATTCAGATCTTTTCTCATGTGGACAGTCACCATAGAATACTGAACATATGCTGCAGACATGTTCTCTACACACAGTAGAGAGATCCCAGATTTGCCCGGTTGGCACTCCAAGGGGAACTTTGTCATTTGAAGCCCTACTCTGGCTTTTGCCAGGGGCCGCAATATAGGCAGGCCATACATATGGCCAGATGTCTGAACGCGGTTTCTGGGACCTCTCCACGGTGATCCTCATCCGCATGGTGGCACTTTGTGTCATCGGGTGTTTGTCGCTTGTGTGATGTCCTGGTGGGGTAGAAAGTCAGTCAAGGGGAACTAATCCGTGTGGGACAGTGGAAATCATTGTCGCACCACGGACTTCATAGAGGCCTGGGGCCTTTTCATCTCAAAACCACTCGTAGGATACATTTTTTTTTTTTTATTATTCAAGCCTCACCCTGGCTTTTGTCAGGGGAACTGAATATAACTAGGCAATAAATATGGCCTAGCTATAGATAGGGTTATAGGGACCTCGCAACGGGTGATCTTCATCCGCATGGTGGCACTTTGTGTCACCGGGTGTTTATCGCTTGTGCGATGTCCTGATGGGGTACACTTAGAAAGAAAGAGAGAGGGGGAGAGAGAGAGGGAGAGAGAGAGGGAGAGAGAGGAGGAAGCAGGGATTCTTTTAGAGGTTATGTTTTATATTTTCTGGGATTTTTCAAATATATTCTTTATTATTTCTTTTATTACATATTAAACGATATTTCAATTATCCGTATATTTAAAAGAGATAAGGCCTATTTACACATTTTCAAAAACAGAGCCGAATCTATGGACCCATCACAGATGCAAACAGCGGGTAATGGAAAGTAGGAAGCAACAACGAAATTCCTTAACTATTTAAATCGCCATTGATCCCTGGCATCATGAGATCTAATAGGCTGAAATAGCTGCGACATACTGAGAGAATGTCAGATGACAGAGAGGTAAAAACTCTATACAAAAGGGAACTGAATGGTCGTAGACCACGAGGCAGACCAATAAGACGATGGAGAGATAATGTCCAGGCAGACCTGCAAACACTTGGTGTCTCCAACTGGAAAGAGAAGGTCAACCAGAGAAGTGAGCGGAGGCGGGTCATACCTAAGTTAAAGTCGACAGGATCGACTTAATTGCGCCAGGTTTTATCCCATATGACTCGGTCCTTCTCTGCAGACGCCGCTCTTCTGAGAGCATCAAAGCATCACACAAAGCATAGACGCTGTAGCTGCGGCGACGATCCCTAGGAATCTCCGTAACATTTGCACTCGTGAACTGGAGGCCGCCGTGAAACGAAACCACGTCAGTCGGAGCGCAAGGCAAACGGCTTGACCCCTTCGCCACAGAGACTCCTCGTGATATGTGCAGCAAGGAACCTCAAGGGCTCTGAATGCGGAAGAAGAAGAAGAAGAAGAAGAAGAAGAAGAAGAAGAAGAAGTGTATTTAAAAGGAGTATATATTTTCAGGTTCTGTGAGATTAGCTTATGAAATCTGAAACGGTAGGGGCTTCAGGCCTTTAGATACCTTAGGGCCTCATAACGTTTAAATCCGGCACTGCACTCACTCCTTTGTTAAAATGATAAAAGGGGTGTGGCCAGACAAAAGCACTATGCAGGAAGCCAAAGAAGAATAAGCAACCAACAAAGAACTGGTGTTGTCGGCCGCTACAGCCTGCGAGATTTACTGAAGGGATCCGAGCACTTATGGACTGAATTGTTCGATGTGCAATGTGGATAATCTGTCGACTAACTAACTATTTAACTAACTAACTAACTAACTAACTAACTAACCAACTAACTAACCAACTAACTAACTAACTAACTAACTAACTAACCAACTAACTAACTAACTAACTATCTAACTAACTATCTTACTAACTAACTAGCTAACTAACTAACTAACTATCTAACTAACTAACTACCTAACTAACTATCTTACTAACTAACTATCTAACTAGCTAGCTAGCTAACTAACTAGCTAACTAACTAGCTAACTAACTAACTATCTAACTAACTACCTAACTATCTTACTAACTAACTATCTAACTAGCTAGCTAGCTAACTAACTAACTAACTAACTAACTAACTAACTAACTAACTAACTAACTAACTAACTATCTAACTAACTAACTAGATAACTAACTACCTAACTAACTATCTAACTAGCTAGCTAACTAACTAACTAACTAACTAACTAACTAACTAACTAACTAACTAGCTAACTAACTAACTAGCTAACTAACTAACTAACTAACTAACTATCTAACTAACTAACTCCCTAACTAACTACCTTACTAACTATCTAACTAGCTAGCTAACTAAGTAACTAACTAACTATCCAACTAACTAACTAACTAACTAGATAACTAACTAACTATCTTACTAACTAACTAACTAACTATCTTTTTAACTAACTAACTAACTAACTAACTTACTTACTTACTTACTAACTAACTAACTATCTTACTAACTAACTAACTAACTAACTAACTAACTAACTAACTAACTAACTAACTAACTATCTAACTAACTATCTAACTAGTTAACTAGCTAACTAACTAACTAACTAACTAGATAACTAGCTAACTAACTAACTAACTAGATAACTAGCTAACTAACTATCGTACTAACTAGATAGCTAACTAACTATCTTACTAACTAACTAGCTAACTAGATAACTAACTATCTTACTAACTAACTAACTAACTAACTAGACAACTAGCTAACTAACTAGCCAACTAACTAACTCCTAGGACATTGTCGTGTCAGTGATACAATGAAATCAAGATAGCTTCTTAATTTTCTTAGAAAGAAAAATATTTCCTGTTACAAAATCGATAAAACATATCCGACGCACCAGAAGCTTACGAAGCTCGTGCAAAGAATGCCACGTCGCACTCCATTTGTATGTCATTTTGCGGTGTTTATTTTTTAATGTTCCCCGTGCCTTTCTTAGTTCTACTATAATTGGTTTACATTGCGTCTTATCCCTGTGTGACACACCCTACGTGAGGGTTTTTTCCCCACTGGGCATGATAGTGAGAATTAGCTGTTGTGGGGAAGAAACCAAACGTTTTCTGTAGTAAGGTAGACGTGTCCACAATCTAGTTTTCAAATAATATTATGTTTGTGGAAACAGGCTTTTAAATAAATAGCATTCAGTCCGTGTAACTTAATTATTGTTGGGTCTGTCTTTCTGTCTATAAGTCTACCATTTCTCTGTGTGTGTGTGTCATTATTTCTCTCACTCTCAATCTCTCTGTCTTACTTTCTTTCAGTCTCATTCTTTCTCTAACGACCTCTCTTTTATTGCACAACACATTCCTTCATTTTCATCCCATCTTCCATTCAACTCTCTCCCATTCTAACACTCTTTACCATTCCCACACACTCTCTCTCTCCCACACATACCTATTCTCTCTCACTCATCCCCTCTATGTGGTGTGTGTGTGTGTGTGTATGTATATATATAAATATATATTCTCATTTACTCTCTCTCTCTCTCATTCTACCAAAGCATTCACCACTAACCAGCAAGCCGTATCCTGCAACGCCTAAACCACAGACTGCGACTAGAATCTACTCGTAATTTAACCGAGTTAAATAAAATTAAAAATGTATATTCTGTTCACAGAATGACGGAATGGATTCTACCGTATGAGTGTGTTTGCAGACGACAAGAGCAGTACCTGCAGCAGATCAAAGACCTCCGCCAACAGTTTCAACATCAAAATGGCGACAAAAGACAACTCTCCAGGTGCGGCAATGCAGGACAATCTGGCACCCAAACCGGTCCTTTCTGGGGACCCCCACCATCTCCATCGACTAAGCCGAACGTCATAATTCCGGATACGGTGTGTATTCTGTACCCTACGAAGACACAGAAGCATAGCAGTGTCTGCAAAGATAGTATACAAGCATCGGATACAGTTATGATAGATGCTACTGACTACCCCACGACACAAAAGTCTGGTCTTAAGAATCAGGTTTCACTGCCGGCAGTGGTACCACAACGTTTGGGGATTGATAGACACAAGACCGACTATGAACCTATTGAGCATATCGCCAGGAGAAATAAGCTGAACTTTAGTAAATATTTCAGAGATGGCCAGACGTGGGCACAATGTTCGTCCAGTGAGACTGGTACTGCTATATCAGATATTAATATGTAGTGACGACATCAAGGGAACAGAAAATATCTAACGCTAATAAAATTTAAAGAAGGAAAAAAAAACAGTATGTTCATTGTTCATCATCATCATCAGTCTCCACTTCCGCTGTTAAGCGTTGTGATGAGGAGCAGTTTGAAGGAAACATTCGTAATTAGTCGATTCTTACAACATGGGTGTTGGGATAAAAGGGGAAACTACCCCCCCCCCCCCCCCCCACAATAGGAGACCACAGAGGGACTTCCGGTACTGAAGAGTTTAGGCGCAGTGCGTCAATTTTTTTTAGCAAAAATATGGCGGGAATTCTAACAGTAACGTGTCAAACTTTGTCGTGACTGTAACCTGGTACTTAAGATGAATTCAAAGTAATAACAGGGGTAGAGGTGGTACAGTGTGCGACTGTAGGAGTAAATAAAAAAAACAGGAAGGCTGTATTTAAATAAAATTTAAAAAGTCAGTTTCGAATAAATAAGACACAAACAAAAGATTGCACAATTTATTAACTGGCATATTTCGCTGACTTTATTCAAAGTCAATTTTTTCACAAGAACTCGTCTGTCGGTGTAAATCAGACAATGATTACAAGAAGCAGCAGAAGAAGGTATGTCTTAGTAAGGAATCATAATCAACTCAGGCTGCGTTGGTAGCCAGATGCTTGCCTGCAGATCCAAAGTCTAAGGTTCAAATCCACTTCGACCCAGCCTAAAAAGGGTACTAGGTAATGCCCTGGGAAGTAAAGCGACCGGCCCGATGTTGACCACATCGCCCATCGAGTGCCGATTGGTCAGTAACAAATATATTGGTCTAGCAATATATGCCTAATTTGCCAAAAGGCGTCCTTAAACTGCTTTTTCACTAGATGCGTATATATATTAGGATCAGAACAGCTCCAGCGAGCATCACTGATAGTTACAACAAACTTGTGGAGTTGTAGAATATCTTGCATGCAACAATGACTCCAAGAGCCATAAAAGACTGTTCACGTTGAACAGGTAAGGGGGGGGGGGGGGGGGGGGGGGGGGGGGCCTAATATACCCATCTGCAAATGGGGGCTGCATGGTCTCGATAGAGGTTCCGGGTTTAATCCCCCGTAAGGGCTGGGGTTTTTTTCACATGGACTTCTAGTAATTCCTCCTGGTCTCTGTGCATTGTTGCGCACGTAAAAATCCCTCGGCAGTTGGAAATCAAAAAGAGTTGCGCTGCCTGGGCAAAAAATTTGGAGTTAAAAATCTACTTAAAGTATTTCGGGATCCTTGCCGGTGCTACAGAGCCTGTGCACTGTGATGAGTTTCTTCGGAGACTTGAGTTAGAAGAACAGAGCACTTATGGTTACTACCCGTGTGCCATGATGTTGATCCGTGGTTCAAAACCTCAGATCTACAACTGTTCAAGACAGTTCATTAAAAGTAAGCCTGAAAGAATGTTGTTTGTAGTGAGGCTGGGATCCAGACTGATTCTGACCCAGTTCCAAAGATTTATTCTATATTTAAGACTGGAACAATCTCTGATCTCTCATAATTAACAACTGTACTGCAAGCCACCAGTCACTGAATCGTCACAACTCCATATTTTCACTGAAAGCCACCAGTCACTGAATGGTCACTACTCCATATTTTCACTGAAAGCCACCAGTCACAACCAATACCTAAACATAAAAAGCCACCAGCCACTGAACGGTCACAGCAAACACTTAACATACAAAGTCACCAGTACGTGAACTGTCACAACCAACACTTACATACAAATCCCCAGTTACTGAACTGTCACAACCAACACTTACATACAAATCTCTAGTTACTGAACTGTTACAACCAACACTTGCATACAAATCTCTAGTTACTGAACTGTCACAACCAACACTTACATACAAATCCCCAGTTACTGAACTGTCACAACCAACACTTACATACAAATCCCCAGTTACTGAACTGTCACAACCAACACTTACATACAAATCCCCAGTTACTGAACTGCTACAAACAACACTTATACACAAAACCAACAGTCCCTGCACTGTAAGAAATGACTTTCATAGTAAATAATTTATTTGTGTCTTTTATTTTAGCATTATCAATCTGTTTAGTTAAGTTCCAATATACACTCATATAAACATTATTTCCAATGGATCATGCACATGTCTTTTTCAACAAAATACAATCATGCATTTTAGGGGGGGGGGGGGGGGGGGGGGGGGGTGACAAAAGCCTGCTATGCATATATTGCTCATATATTGTACATTATTTCATAACATAAGAATAAACGCAAGCTGTACATATACATAATCCTTGTACGGACTAGTTATTAGGTATATGACATAGAAACTAAATTACACAAGTTCATGCAGAAAAACATACATAAATTACAACATGTTTAAGCATCTTGTTCTCTAGCCACCGGCAAGCTGCAGAGACCGCCTTAACCCATTTTTCAAGATGTTGAGGTATCATATGCTAGGCTGTCCTGCACTAAAGATTTTCCACTGGCTTTCGCTACGAACCCACAGGCAACTTCTCTTCCCTCTCAACACTGAACCATGTGTACAGATAATCAGATCATCTGGACAAGAATTGTCTTGAATCAACTGTTTGACTTCCACCTCTGTAGCCCTCGCTGGCCACTCTCTGCATTCCCGGTCTAATGTGATCATGCATGACCCTACACAGGTCAGACTTTTCCGGCCCAATGTTCTCCAGCATGCATACTTGTCTTATTGTGTCTTCTGCTTGAGCCATCCAAGATTTTCCCCATTTTCACCTCTGAACCTTACCTGCATCCAAAGCTTCATACAGAGGGTGTTCTTTATCTGCAGCTACTCTGATATATGACTTAGCCTGCAGCCCTTATAGTCTATCAGCACTAGTCGGCAATGCAAGATGTACCGCATGCACACAACCGGGGTTGACCAAAGAATGTAGATTGCCTTTTTTTGATGTGAGCAATTAGTTCTCTTCATGAGTCAGTTTCTTTCAAGGCATCTTCATTACTCTTTTGATCTTTCCAGGACATTCTCATTATTTGTTTACAAAACCACATCCCTGCCCCTTCCAAATCATTTTTCCCTAATCGTCCCACTGTCCATGATTCACTTCTGTACTCTAAAGTTACAATGAAAGTTATTGTTACACTGCTAGGCTAAATGTTACCAGATGACAGCAGAAATAGTGAGCAACCTGTCACGTGTTAACATTCCAAACATCAGACCTGACCGACCAGTAGCAAATATTTCCTACAAAATCCACTAGCGAGCTCACTGGACAAGATATCCACATCACTGGAAATATTTCAGACATTGCTTTCACAGTCGGAGTTTACAAACTCATACAAAACATTTACTGAGCAAAACAGTTTATTTCTGTACACTACGTGTTAGATACACATATTTTACAGTCTGGTCTGCATTTTCATGTACGACCTGAAATTATACAATGTAGCCTGACCAACACAGATACAAGTGACTTTTCCTTTCAAGTCACAGTGCGCATGCCCGATAGCAAGAAACCAACAGTCTGTACACAAATAAGCCAGATACATCCAAAAGATGCGCATGCATTATTCACTCTGGAAAAAGGCCAAAGTCCAGAAGCAGATAAACAACCTGGACTTTCCGCTAGAGTTAACACAGCCAGAGAATGCTTTTAAAAATGTATCTCTTCTTCAGTGCCTTTCTTTCTACACATCTGCTTATTTTATAAGAGCAGCTTTGAACCCAATTTATCAGAACAAATTTATCAGGTTATCACTGAGGACTCAACTTCAGGACAATGTTATGATATGTCATTACACCAACCACACTAATATTCTAGACAAGCTAAAACAATCTCCCGGATACCTTACAGACATTGGACATCAACAATTTCAAATACCACATACACATTCAAGTCTACTTCTATCAACTGCTCATCATATTTTTCAAAGTTAGAGACTGTATTCAAATAACTGAGCAGCATTAAAAAGCAACAGATGCTTCTCTATGATTTGAGCTCCTATGGTAAAGTAGCTGGGGACAATCAAATCAAATACTTCTTTCTCTCTTCTTCATTTATGATTCGTTTCATAACAGCTCTTCCTGTCCCTATTTTCCACATTTTCATTTTTGTGACCTTCCTAATCCATGTTGGTTATTGGTGAAGACTGGTCAAAATCTTTGGCTTTACCATTCCCTCCACTGGCTTCCTAGTCAGTCTGCATCACTTCAGAGGTCCTAGGTAGTTAGCGTACTTCTGACTTTTTCTCCAGGGTATGCTGGTGTGTTGGGAAATGAGCAGATAGACAGGCCGGTTCTGCACCACCTGATGGTAAACTAATGTATGATAAACTAATGTATGATAGGCTAGATGTTAAGAGGGCCCTTTGGGAGCGAGTGAACAGTGCGGAGGCACAAATGAATCATTAAGGTCTGAGGAGAAAGGCGCTGCAGGGATTTACCAGGGGATCTGGCCGGCGCTCAACACTCAAGGAAAGGGCAAGACATATACAATTAGTTACTGGTAATATCAGAATTGGAACTCTTCGTTTGCTGCTGAAAATGGGGATGGAGCGCTTATGGATGTGTCCCGAATTCTGTTAAGTTGATTCTTAATTCAATATTAGTTTGCATCTGGTTAACTGTTACTTCTTGATTTATGAGAGGTTTCCAAATCAGCATGTTTAAGCAGCATGCCGTCTACAAGCTCAAGAATATTTCACCACAAGCCAGCAGTTCATTTCATTTCCAATGTTAAAGATAATCCTGTTCATCCATCTCCTAGAAAGGGCTGCATCACAGGGGACTTTGGTTATATTTGTGGTAACATTTGCAGTCATTATATTGGATGCAAATTATTACTACTTGTTCTTTTCTGATCTCCTTGCCACTCATGGCCGTCTGGTCCGGCGCTGGCCAGTTCTCCACAGTGGGGTAACTGATGCACTTGTTTTTCATTGGTCGAAATCGACGTGAGGAGGTCTGCTGTCAGAACATCCACTAAGAAGCACACTGACAACATCTTAGCCACCGTTGCCAGGCAACACACAGGAAAATAATAGTAATAATAAAAGCTAAGAAAACATCACACCTTCAATACGGTCACTAAACAAATTTTCTTATAAGCAAACAAATTTGTTAATAGTAAACTAAATACATAACAACTTGGCTTGTATCATGCTCACTAAACAAATTCTTTTATAAATAAACAAACTTGTTTATTGGGTGGGGGTGGGGAGAACACAAAACACTAAAGCCTGCACACCTGTACTACGCTCAACAAACAAATCCTTTTACAGGAAAACTAAACACAACAGTTTTCCCACCTGTAGTAGCAAGGTCAGAAAACATCTCTATAAGTAAACAAATCCTTTTTTTTTTTAAGTAACTCAACAAATGCATGTATAAGAAAACTAAACACAAATAGCTACACACCTCTGAGAAACCCAAACAACTATTACCAATATCACAGACAAGAAAAGGGAGCAACCTAAAGCTGCCTCTTGCTTTCTTCTTGAATTACCACCATGCACAACTGCCCTCCATCTCACTGCGAGTCAACGAGAGAAGCTGAAAACTCACTAAAGAATAAGCAGATGTCTATCGCCTGGAGGTTCCACCGTATCCTGACGCCGTCCTCGTCCCGGAAGAAGATCCTCCACTAGGTGGAGATGAGAAAAATGAGCTGCTGGAAGTGCTAGGGCCAGCTGCATAGTCCTGGCTAAACCAAGAGCTTGCTGGTCTGTAAGTGGGACCGTAGTTGTAATTGTTTGTGCGTCCAAAGAGGTAGCCTAGAAGTCCACCCGTTGCTGCCCCAGTCCAGAAGCCGCCCCCGGTACCAGGTGCGGCGGATGCGAAACCTGGGTTCGTGAAGCCCTGAGCTCCACCACAGCTGTCATAAGTTGGTGGTGGTGAGCCTGAAATGATAACCGTTCACAACTTGAAACGTCTGCCTTGAAAATAACGTGTAAGAAAAGCTATATCATGCACAGAAATGTAAACATGTTATGACACTAACAGGAAAATAACTCAATATTTAATCAGAGAGGGTAGAGAGAGAGAGAACAGCACAGGGGTAGAGGGAAGAAATAGAGAAGAGAGAGACGTGAGACAGCCCAAACTAAGTCCCAGATACATTTTCATATTTTACATGAGCCTAACATTAAAACATGTTACTATTACTACTTATTCGAAAATCATTAGGTTCTGGCTTTTGGGGTTCAATTATTGGGAAAAGGGGGGAGGGGGAGAGGCCACCACTGGCAGCCTAACAAGCATACAGTAAAAGTCAACTAGTTAGGGATGCTTCTTAGATTTAGACAGCATCTGCCCAGCAAAGAATCAACAGTCTGCATACAAATAAGCCAGATCTGTCACACAGATGTGCATGCAAAATTCAAGTTCTGGATCAAGACCAATGTCCTGAAGTGGATGAACAACCAGAACTTTCTGCCAGAGTGTTCAGCTGGTAAAAGCGAATAAGTGAGATAGGAAAAAAAGGGTTGACCCCCATCCTTAAAACCTTCCTTTTTCAGATAATTAAGAGAAAATTATTTCAACTGCTGAATTTGATTTTTGGTGTCTATTTTATAAGGATGAACAGGCAAAGAACTGCAGTGGGAAAAAAAAAATGCCTTTGCTGACGATTTATCTTCTTTTGTATGTGCCCTTTAGTGGGGCGGTGGGAATGCTGTGTCGCGGTTTACAGCTAGGGTGTGATATCTGCTCCTTTCTGGCCCAACATATCCGGTTTTCGCAGTCAGTCAGTCACCATTTCAAATGCTTGTTACAGGGCAGTGGATATGTTATCTTCCCCAGCCACACCCCTGCCTTTCTCCCCCACCCCCCCCCCCACCTGGGGACTTCTAAACCACACTGAGATACTATTAAATGAAATAGGACCACTCCTTGGCGAGCATGCACACTAACTGCTAAACCACCAACTGACCAACAGGTAAAGTCAAAATAGTTCAATAATTCATTTATTATGTAGGTTCAAATGTGTTCATAATCGATTTCTCTTGTTAGTTTAAATATTCCACAATCCATTTCTGCATTGAACCAGTTTTTGCATACAGCATGCCAGTAAATTACCTCAGCTGTTTTAATGATGTGGATTTAACATCTGCCTACACCAGAAAAATCAGCATCACAATAGACTGTTTTCAAAATTAACCTTGGATCCAAGTCGACTCCACCTAAAATAGGTACTTAGTAATGTCCTGGGGAGTTGAGAAAGGTGAAAACAGGCATGCTTCATGCAGAGTGGCAAGCACCACTTCAGAGGTCCCGGGTAGTTAGCATCCTTTGGATATTTTCTCCAGGTAATGCCGGTGTGTTGGGAAATGAGCAGGAAGATAGACTGGCTGGTTCTTCATCACCCGGTGGTGAACTGATGTATAACAAATTAGATATTGTGAGGGCCCTTTGGGAGTAAGTGAACAGTGCGGAGGCGCAGACAGATCATTACGGTCTAAGGGGAATAGCGCTGCGGGGAATTACCAGGGGATCTGGCAGACGCTCAACATTCAGGGAAAGGATGAGACGGATATACAATCAGACAGTTACTGGTATATGGGAATTGGAACTCTTCGCCTGCTGCTGAAGATGGTGACTGAGCACTTATGAGAGTGTCCCGAGTTCTGTGATGTTGATTCTTAATTCAACATTCTGGGGAGTAAATGCGGCCAGTGTGATGCTGACCATATTAACTATCAAGTGCCGATTGATCTTTACAAATATAGGTCTAGCGTTATCTGCCCAGGTGAACCCAATGTCTGAAAAAGGGTCCTGTATTTTTTTTTATTAAATATTAACAATTTACCAGAAACAATGTAGATTTACCTTGTCCAGGCATATATTCTGGCCTGAAACCATAGGGTGGGGGTTGTTCTCTGCCGTGCCTTCAGGAGAATGATCAGTGGGAGCGATGCAGACCTTGTAGATGAAGTACATCAACAGTATCACTGTAGCCACAAATATGAGGCCGTTGACTCCTCCAGATGATCCCTCAAACTTGTAGCTGAAAGACAACAGAAAGTTAGTGTAACATGCGTGCAAGGTTTTCTCTTCACAAAGATCTCCGGCGAACACTCTTACATCTCGTCACCACTGATTCTTAAAAACAAAAACACTATCAGTATGTATATCAATGTGTTCAGATTCTTTCGTGCTATAATGCAAGACTATCATGCACCTGGTACTCTTCGATTTAGAAATAATTTTAAGATGATAGAAACATTTTTAATGAGAAACAGCAAAAATTGCTCAGGAACAAATTTCAGACCTACAAGAATTATACTGAGAATGTTAAAGTCATCAAGGAATGAATAGAGAATCTATTTAAACAACCTACCAAGAAACTGATCAGGTAATCACAGTTTATACTTCATAGTAAAGATGTCACACCCCCCCCCCCCCACTACACACACTGTCTGTCCCTTCAATGTAAGATCTGCTGTGCCTATGACAACTACACAGAATGACTGTCCCTGGATCAATGTAAGATCTACAGAAACAACGTATAGAGAAACTGATAAAGCTGCCAAGGATCAATGTAAGATCTGCAGAAACAATAAATTACATTTTGTTAATATCTGACTCTCACCTGCCATGGTAGTTGTAACCTCCCTTTTGCCGCTCCCTCTGCAAACCTTCCTCTGTAAACTCCAAAGTATATTCAAGCTGTGAAAGTATAAGAGGTTTTGTTTGAATATTACAACTGTATCTGCTACTGTTTTTTTTTTTTATTTCTCTCACCTGCTGTAAGCTTAAGTGGAAGCCCTGGTTGTTCATCCATTTGAATTTTGGCATTGTTGCTTGGGCCCTGAGTTTTGTAAATACAATCGTTTTACTGGCTTAATTTTGTGTAGCTGATAGTTCCTAGCTGCTCGGGTAGATACACTCCAACTTCGTTGGCAGGCCCTAATTAACTCTTATGACATGCTTTCTGTGCAGCTGATTGTTCTTTGCCGCTCTGGCAGATGCACTCTGACATCGAAGAAAGCCCCCAATTAATCAACTCTTTTGACATACTTGATGGGAAGACTGTGGGACTATTTCTATTCGTTTTCCCCCACATTGGGGCCTGGAACCCACACAGGGAGGGCCTATATTTAACAACAGAATATTTAGATATTTAACAACTTATATCAGCACAAACTTCTACAAACGACAGGGCTAAAAGTGTTAAAAGGGAAGAGGTGTTAAAACCTGCATGATAGTGGAATGAGTAGCATTGACACCCTTAACACACACCGAAGGAGACGGAACCTTCATGGACTTCCCTACAGTCAGCGGCTCCTAACTGGCTACGACTTGCAGACACGTTTTATTTCCAAAGGTCTGCCACAAACCCCATTCTCTGTAACAGTCATACAGAACAACATAACTATCATTCCTACAGGGTGTCTCATATGTTTCCATTCACAGGAAAACCAATTATCACCAATGCCATATTACAAATAACTCCAGCCGTGCTTATACATGCTCTTCAGCAGTGGAAGACACAAATCGATATGTGTTTTCAAAACAATGCTAGCAATGTAGAGCATATTATATAAATAAATATGTTGTTTTTTTTTTTAAACATATAATAATGTTATATCTAGCCTTCCTTAAAATCATTAACCAACCAAAATTTTCAAAATGTGGTGTTTTTTTTTTTTTTCTTCCTGTGGGAACAAGGACCCAACAGAAACAAAAATCACAGTGAAATAAAAACATGTACTCACCCCACAAGAACCCTTCAGCACGTATGGGTCATTTGGGTAATCATAGCCTTCACATGTCACTTCAACATGGCCGAAGCGATAAGCATTGTCCATATCAGTTTTACATTCCCACTGAAAGATCACAGTTGAAAAAAAAAAAGTTATTTTCTGAAAACAGCCAAAACACAACCAAAAGCAGCATCACATGCATCATCCTACTAACTTTTGTTAACTGTTTTATGCTAGTAAAACTAAGACCACCTGCTAACTGAAAAGATGGTCTGGTTATCCATTCATTCACCATCCTGTTATGCTGTTAAAGACCACATTTGGCTCGCAGATGAGTCCACCTTTTCATTCTATCCTATGCAATTATCAAGGTAACATGTTGTGACTACCCTCTGTATCTAGTTCCCGTAACAATTTTGCAGAGAGAGAGAGAGAGAGAGAGAGAGAGAGAGAGAGAGAGAGAGAGAGAGAGAGAGAGAGAGAGAGAGAGAGAGAGAGAGAGAGAGAGAGAGAGAGAGAGAGAGAGAAGAGAGAGAGAGGGAGAGGGAGAGAGAGATATTTTCAAGACTACACCTCTCCGCAATCACCAACCAAACAAAAGCCTGGCCAACATAATGTATAAGTTTCTTTTAAGTCAAAGTGCATCTGCTAAGAAGGCAAGGAACCAACAGTCTGCACACGAATAAGCCAGATGTGTAAAATGGATGTACATGGAACACTCAAGTCCTAAAAAAAGACAAAAAAGTCATGAAGTGGGTAAACAACCAGGACATTCCACTGGTAAACATAGAGAAGAAGAAAGAATTATTATTATTTTGTGGCAGCAATGATACACACTGAAAACTCGACAGAGAAATTAGCTCGAGATGTGCCAAAGCTAATCAAGTAATGGGGCAACTATCTCCCCTTTTGACACACAAGAAGATGCCGCTAGTACTAAAGTGAATCTTATCAGAACTATTTTTGGTCAACACTATGCTATCAGTGCCAAACATGGACACTTACATCCTCCAATGAATGTAAAATTGTGACAACAGAGATGAAATGATTTTAAAGAGCTAGCTGCAGGAGTTTCAAGGAAAGATAGAAAATGAAATTATGAAACCAGAATGCTAGGAATTAAGCCAGTATTACAAGTCATCAAAGAACAACAAATAAAGTGGTTTGGACAACTAACAAGAATGCCCTGGTACTATCTGCCACAACGAGCCACACTAAAACGTTACAACGGGTATAGAGTGAGTGGAAGACCTCATTAAATATGGAGCGATGGCATTAAGAACAGCCTTACAGAAATGAACATCAGTCTTTATAGTGCTCTTGACAGAGCTCACAGTTTATCAACGAATGTTACATCTCCCCCCAACACTTTGCTCAGGTACAAGGTGGAAGAGAAGAAGAAGAAGAGTGATACACACTGCATGTACTGAGCTCCACTATCTGACATTACCTGAATATCATAGCCATCAGATCCCTTGTTAATACACTGTACCACTTTTGGCGTGAACTTATAATGGGCTGAACCTCCCACACACTTGAGCTGCAAATGAAAAGCAAAAGCAAAGTGAGACAGCATGAAACAGTCTTTAAAAAAAACGATTGTTAACAATTCTTTCTTCTTTTGTTAACACTTTCTGAACCAAATGACTCATTTTAAGTTGATGGGTTCTCTTTTGTTAAACAACTAATACCCTTAAGCTTTCTCTTTACTAAATAAGAATCAAACAATTATTTCTCTTACTCACTCCATTCTAGCTATGAATTTATTATTATCCATCCAGTTTTATTTACCAGTTGTTGCTCAGAGATTTACCATCCAGTTTCTTATTAGCCGCTGACCCTTAACTGCACCCAGTAACGAACTTACCTAGCATTAGGTGTTTCGTCCTTTTTAGGACAAATTTTTTTTTTTTGTTATTTGAAACCCCACCCTGGCTTTTGCCAGGGGCCGCAATATAGGCAGGCCATAAATATGGCCAATCGTCTGAACGTGGTTTCTGGGACCTCTCCATAGCGATCCTCATCCACATGGTGGCACTTTGTGTCATCGGGTGTTTATCGCTTGTGTGATGTCCTAGTGGGGTAGAAAGTCAGTCAGTTTTATTTTACCCCCCCCCCCCCCCCCCCCCCCCACACATCTTTTTGTAAAAAAAATGTATACCTCCACCCTAGTTATAACAGTATAGATCCAGTTTTGCCCAAACTTCAATCTTTCATCTCAGTCCATGCAAATGTTCACAGCCTGTTGGACTGTTTCATATAAGGTGTTGCTTATGACCGGTTTAGTTGAAATAACAAGTTAATAGTTACTTTGAATGTTTTTTTTTCAAAGTTGTTAAAATATTAGGAGCGTTTATCCAAAACCCATTCCTGCTTGTCCTGGGTAATAGTAGGTGTTGACTTGATCATGTTATATGATAAGTGCCGACAAAAGAAAATGAGGGAACATGCTTGTCCTCCCAAGGGGCACAGGTTCTGTTTCTGGCCATTGGGAAAATGGCCTCGGTGAGGCACAAATGAGTTTCAAATGGGCGCTACTTATAAAAATTCCTAACCTATGCAGTTCATAGAGACAGCACAAGCCAGGCAGCCTTAAATCCACAGGGTCATGAACCTGTCCTAAATAGACAATAAATACGGTTGTTTGTTGGGTCCAAACTTTTATTGTAACTTTTTCTGTCAATAGTTATTTTTACTGTTTCTGCCAAAGTAGTTACTTTACATGCTTCTGTTGAAATTTTTCTTTGTTTCAAACTTTCTGTCAACATTATTTCTTTCACTTCACCACTTCATAACAGCTAGCATTGCAGCTTTTCTGTCCTATGAGTTTTTAGTCAACAATAACAACTAGATGTGATAAGACAGGTTATGTTTATATAAACCTTCACAGAAAAATTAAAAAATCTACAGCGTTTTATTTTACTCCCGTTATATTTTCCATTTTAACAAATGCAGCAGGTAGAATACTGAAGTACTACTCCTGATTGAAATGCCCTGGCTTCCTGAAAAGAACCTGTATATACTGAAGAGAGGTTGGTATAGACTTTTCTTTCTCCTGACCAGGTACCATATGATCATCTCCACAGTGACTGTGCTGCATAGCAAGCTGTAATGTATCCTTAATATTTCAAACATACCTGAGGTACTGCAGGCGACCTCCTAGATTTGGTCATCTGTCCATGATGCAGGGTCAGCGCTTTCACATCTGACAGGAGAATTTTCTCTGAATGGTCATTAAAAGCAGCTGCAAAAGATATAATTGGATAGTCTATCATGCTGCATGTGAGTTCAAAAAATTAACATAAATTAGCCTTTGCTCCTATTGGTGCTAACTTTTTATGTCACAGACTTGGCAATGCCCTTTGGCTGTCAGCAGTCACACCTGAGCTCTTAAATCAATGACAACTTCCCTGATCTAAAGTCACTTCCAAAGCTCAACATATGACTGTCACAAATCAGGTATCGGCTCTGCATTGATGGAAGCCTCCTTGAATGGTGGGAAATGCTCATGCTAAGCACATGCCTTGTATTGAGAGAAGGCCAGAATGCTTGCAGCAGATTCGGATGGGCCTGCTGAAAGTACCACATGTGTATTAACCTTGTTGACCCAGAAATTTTTTGGTTTCAACACTGAAGGATTTTTAAGACATGGAGTCTTTGGGCAGTGCCACGCTACACAGACACGGTCAGTGTTTCCAAAAAAACACTTGAGATATAATTTAGGGTTGGAAAAAATTAACATTTCTGAAAGATGTGAGTCAAATGGGATATCATAATCTCATAATTATGACACTCTTCTAGATGTGGCCAGGTCAACAAATCCATGTTTACTATGGTCAAAGGGAAGGAAAGCAGTTAATTCTTTGCTCCATTTGTATTTGGTGATTATCTTCCCTCACAAAAGACCTCAAAAACCTCACAATTTTTAGTGCCTTGATGGCAGCGATGAAGCAGTGGTGTAGGGGTTCCACCCCTTGGACTTTCATAAAAATATTTCTACTTCTAGTCTCAAGAATTTAATCTGCTTCTATTTTTTCCCTACTCTGTTAGGGTAGAGTTTCAGAGCATTATAAGGAATCGCTATTTCTTTTAAACAACATTTCTTCTTCTTCGCATTCTTAACTTTAACTTAACTGCCAATCACTGCCTTTATTTACCGCTTTTGCAGTGTAGGCAGGGGGGGTGGGGGGTATTTGAGACTGAAGATTTAGGGCTGCTTGGCTAGTGCTGTCGCCACGACTGTGCAGGTGAAGATTTTATTTTGCCCCCAACGTTCTTCGCGCTCACTGGCTGTAAACTCTGGTGGAAGGTTCTAGTTGTTTGTACTTTGGTCTTGTTCCAGAACCTAAGTGTTGCACGCACATCCGTTTAACAAATCTGACATAATTGTATGCAGAATGTTGGTTCCTTGCCTTTTAGGCAGATGCTCTCCGACTTCAAAATAATCCCCAATTAGTAGACTCTTACTACACACGTGTTGGGGAGGCAGTGTGTCTATTTTTGTTTTCCACCACAATGGGGCTCCCAGAACCCATATGGGGAAAACAAATAGGGAAAACAAAATTTGATAATGGTTAGGTTTTAAGATTGTTACTGGGCTGAAGGGTTGAAAGGCAAAAATGATGACATAAGAGGGCAGCACAATGTCTCTTAAAAAAACTGGATAGGTTAATTTAGACAAATACAATAAAGAAGTCAAATATGTCAGCCAAAGAGTGCAAATATCACTACTTTGGGTGGAGAATCAGGTGCTTGAGTAGACCCACTGCTACCCTAACATTCATGACCCAAAAAAATGACTTATTGGGGGGGGGGGATGGGGAGAGGTTATCCTTCAAAGTCAGAGTGCATCTGCCTGATATGCATGGTACCAGCAGTCCGCATACAAATAAGCCAGATCTGTAAACCGGATGTGCATGCAAAACTCAAGTCCTGGAACCAGACTAAAGTCCGGAAGTGGAAAAACAAACAGAACATTTCACAGCAGCTTACAGCTGGTGAATGCTAAGAATGAGAAGAAGAAATATAAAACAAAAATGAAAAGTTATGTTTTTAAAAATTTTTAACCAGATGATCATCTTTATTTCATTAGCATAACAGTTAGTACAAATTGGGAATTTTAAAAGTTTAGAGGAAAGGGCAACTTGTCTAAAATTAAGACATAAGTAAGTAAAGGGCCATAACCCGCAGTACACATAGCAGCAAACCAGCAAACATAACCAGCACTGCAAACTAATCTGACACATTTATCTTGTATACGACTACACCAATGACATAATAGCTACAGAAATGATTATACCTGTGGCTAATGTGACGATCAAAGTTAGCACTAGGGACAGAAATGTCGATTTCAACAGGTTTGTATCCATGGCAATCATTGCTTGACCTTCCTTTTCACTCGTCTGTAACATAAATTATAATAATTTTATGTCAATCCACACAAACTAAATGTTTATATATCATACAAACTTTCTTTTTCAGAGGAAGAATTAGATCCACACACAATAAATATTTGCAGGCAATCAGTGCCTGTTCTACAATGAGGGAAGTAGACTGCAAGACCATTTGAACAGGCCAAGTTCAACATGCACAAGATATAACATGAAAATAAATACTACTAAAACTGAAGTAATACAGGTCAGCAGAATTCCTAGTCCACTACATATTGGGTTGAATGGTACTTGCCTGAAGCAAGTCAGAGAATTTAAATATCGAGAAGCATATTCGCAGAGGGCGGAAGAATATATCAGAAAATAGAAACAATATGACAATGAGCCAGTGCAATTATACACCAACTGACACCATTAAGACATCTAAATATAAGTATGAAGGCAAAGAAATCTCCATACCAACACTGTGCTACCTGTGCCAGACTTGGACAGTATCAAAGGTTAACCTTCGTAATATTAACCCACATGAAATAAGATGCCTGAGAAAAGCTGCCAACTTAACCATCCGAGACAAGGTTACAAATGATGTCAGACAGACTAGGAATAACACCATGCAGCATATTCAATGAGAAACAGAAGATCAAATGGTTTGATAATTTAGTAAGAATGCAGCCAGAACAACTACAAGGGCTACATACACATGAAAGGATCTGAAGTGAAAGCAAGATGCAACCCTAGGAAAAGATGGATTGATGACCCTAAAGAGCTTCTACATCGACAGAGAATAATAGCCATTGCTGCCCATCAAGCAATGGATAGCAAACGGTTCTTCCCCACAACGCTTAACGGCAGAAGTGGAAATTGTTGACAGTGATGATACAAACTATTTACATTTAGCTCATACACACATCCCCCCAAACTAACATATATTTTACAGTACCCCCTGTGGTTGTCTTGTTTTTCATTTACCTTGACCTTTAATTCGATGTAAAATGAGATGGAATCAGTGATCCCCTTCCCTAAATTTCCTGTGCTCCCAGATCAACCAGGCCAAAAATGGGGAGTAGGAAGTGTCCTTGGAAGAAAAAAACAGCTCACTGCAACTTATGGGGGTGGTCAACATATGGAATGACTCAATGAGGCCTACTACTGTTTTGAAACTAACAATAATTCTTTGAACAACTTTTATTTGAGAATACAGTCTCATTTGAAATCAAACACAACATCAAAATATCTTTCATCATATCTTGGTCAGTGTCCATCTTATTTTCTTTGTCTTCCTTTTTAATTTTATGGACTTTACACTTCACTTCACCTGGTAGACTATTAACAGGTTACTGATTTCTGTATTATTATATAAGACTGGCAGTCGAATGGTAATATATTTTTTAAATTATGACGGACAAATTTTAATTACAAAATATCCGGAAACTAAAGGAAAGGTAGTCTTCTAGTAGCTACACGGTAAAGTAAAAGGGTGAAAATTAAGACATCTGTCATCGGCGATTGAGTGGCAACTGCCGTTACTGTTACTTTAGTTATAAGTAATCTTTGTTTACTAACAACAAATCACTTGGGTTTATGATTCTCGCAGAAGTACGACGAACGTTGTATTATCAACAATGGGTGAATGGCAACAACAATCGACAAACTGAAACCAAAAAATGTCATGACCGACAAAAAAAGGATCTAATCAAGTTAACAACTACTAGTACCTTTCAAACCAGTAACTTGCAATGTTATCCTCTTATCACCGTTGAGAATGCGACAGGTGTACGAAATACATAACATACACTTAAACTCGGCTGTAATGAAAATAGTCTGCTAAAAGAAAAACGGTCGTGACAAATAAATATCTGCGGGGAAGGCTGACGACACAATAAGAAGTCTGCTTGCACCGGAAGTTACACTCAGCATTCCCCGTCCAATCACCTTCTAGAACACACGGTGGCGGCTATTTTCGGCAATGAGCTCATATCTGCGTATCCAAGGAACAGAGGCGCTTTCTACAATTTTCGTCTTTACTAAATACTTCTTTTGTCAGTTATCTCTCTCAACGGAGCATAGGCTCTCGACTAACGCATGCTAAGTACGGGGGGCGACGAATTAGGCCACTTTAGGCTCTCTCTCCCATAGGGAAAACCTTAGGTGGTAGATAGGCTAGGGCCCTTTCTCACCCAACCCTTCTATAAAGTGAGTAAAGAAGTGTTCAACAAGGCGGTCTCTGATCATGCAATAAATCTATTAGCTGGCCGTGACTCACACTATGTATTTTGCTACACGAATAATTATTTCTTGGCATGAGTTAGTTGAGAGTCTATACTCCGTTGAGATCCCAGCGCCTGTTGTCAGTTGAACTGTTATATCATCATCATCATCAGGTGCCTTGCCGACTGGCGTGGGCGATAATGGCAATGCCTCTCCACAATCTGCGATCTCCTGCAGCATGTACCTCCATGCCATGCTACAAGACTGCCAAGAATCTTCTTTCGTTGTCTTCCTCTATCCCTCCTTCCACAGATCTTTCCAGGGGTCACAACATGTTCTATCTTCCCTCTTCTCATACAATGGCCGAAAAATGATGACTGTCTCCTTCTGATGTCTGTGATAAGTTGTCTTCGGGCTCCAGCCTCTTTCAAAACCTCTTGATTGCTCTTTTTGGCTGTCCAAGGCAATCTAAGCATTCTTCTGTAAAACCACATCTCTGAGGCCTCAAGAAATTGTTTGGCCTGCCTTCCGATTGTCCAGGATTCACAGCCATATGTTAAAACTGGATGTATGTAGCAAGCAAGAATTCTTTTTCTAACTCTCAATGACAAAGATATTTTGCACAAGATGTTCTTCATTTTATAAA